CTAAGTAGAGGCCGAGACAAACTTTTGTAGAGGCTAGGATTCAAACTGTTCGTGATTTCCATTAGTCGTTGTTGTATTTGTTAATTTTTAAGGAACCCAATGTAAGTAATTGCATCTCTTCCTCCCGATTTCATATTTAACATACTTGGATCGTTGGTGAGACTATCACGTTTTTGTTTCTGTTGTGCCATAGGTGTATTGACGGTCCCAACAATGGTGACCATGGACTTCGGGATCAGATTACTGATGACGCACCAAAGTCATGATGTGGTTTGGTTAGTGGTAGATCGGCTAACCAAGACGACCTATTTCTTGTCTGTGCTAATGAACTTCACCCTTGAAAGACTAGCTCAGTTATACACCAAAGATATTGTAAAACTTCATGGGGTACCTTTGTCGATCATTTTTAACAAAGACCCACGGTTCACTTTGAGGTTTTAGAAGGCATTACATAAAGCTTTGGGAACCCAATTACATTTTAGCACCACCTTTCATCCGCAAACGGATGGTTGATTTGAGAGATTGATTCAAATTCTTGAAGATATGTTACGGTGTTGTGGTATCAATTTCCCTTTAATTGTGAGAAGGATGGTCTGGTTGGTTATGAGAAGGATTGGGTTGAAGTGAAGCCCACAAAATGTAAAAATGGTATTTTTAATTCGGATGCAAATTATGGAGGACTAGGGGGACAATTTTCCCGTAGTTTGAAATAAAAGTTGATCCCCCTTAATTGTGCATATGATATATATTGGGAAAGGAGGTCTCCTTTTTGTCTTCTTTTTCATCTTTTCTTTTCTCCTTCTTCGTCTCCAAATCTCCTAAAGGTAGAAAAATTTGCCACTAGCAACTTAACTCAGATTTTTTAAGCTAAGAAATACAATCTTCTCCTCTAGTGCTTCATTTCTAGCTCAAAATCTCAAGGTTTGGTTATAGTGGCCCGAATAAAGGTTTTAGAGAGGTTTTAGTTTTGAGGCCTAAAATTGCACTTAATCCATCCTCAAGTGTTTAGGATTATGTTTCCACTCATTTAGAGTTTTTTACACGTTAGAAATAAATTTATTTTCTTGTGACTAGTGAGAGAGATGAGTATAAGCTCCAAAACCAAGAACAAGTAAAAGTTAGTGCTTGGGTGATCTTGTGAACCCTATTTTTATTAGTGAGGTAATACATTCCTAACTCACCTATGTTACATGTAGACTATTAGGTTGTGATTTTCTTGCTTGTTGTGTTCATGGGTATAAAACATGAGTTTTGGTGAAAAATAAAATATTTGATGTTTATCTTACTTTGGAATGACCTATAATGCTACCTTGAACTTCCATAAAACTTAATAAACGTTCAAGAGTCTTAAGGGGGACTTGTGAGGGGTTCTTGGGGGCATTTTTGTGCCTATAATACATTTCTAGGTAGAAGTATCGGTACTGGAGGAACAATACCGATATTGTTCTTCAGATGGCTTGAATAAAACGGTTTTGGAGTTTTAAGTATCGATACTCATCCTTGAAGTATCAATACTGAGCTGTGAGTTTTGATACTATAGGGTAAGTATCAATACTAGAATTACAAATCGGATTGTAGTAGGCACTTTTGGTATCGGTACTCATGGGAGTATCGATAGCAAGGGTAGGGTATCAATACTCTCCATAAGAGTATCGATACTAGAGTGATTTTTGAAAATATCAAAGACATATTTGGTATTGATACTTGGGGAAACTATCAATAGCACTGAGTAGTATTGATACTGCCAGACTAGTATCGATACCATCATCCTAGATTGGGTAGGGGACCCTATTTCATTTTTGGTCACCAGGAGGAAAATTTGAGGGTCATCGAGACTTCTTTGATATGAATACAATCAATTACAAGTAATAACTATTGTCATGATAAGAAATTGGCTTAAGTAAGATGGAATAAAACTAGTTTTGTTTGATGTTCGGGAAAACAATTAGGACACTCAAACTACTCAATTGTACAAATGCTCGCCGAGTAATCACGATTAGAGATATCCATATTTTCTCCTATCAGTGCTAAGGAACTTTAGTATCAATGCTAAGACACTTTCGTTATTAAATAGCTAGACTATAATATATATGTAAATGTGGTGATATATTCATACCTTGTGTTGTACTCAATACTTGTTACAACTTATGTTTGTCGCAAGACATTTCCTCATGATTGAACTTTTTAGCATTTACATCTAATGGATACATGTAGCGTAGTAGAATTATTTTTGTGGCATTGCGCTCATAGCTTAGCGTTTGAAATTTGTTTCTATTTGCAAGTCAGTAGGTGTCGATCATGGAGCTTATTGCTAAATTTTGGATTTTAGATATCAACAAGTTGCAGAGTACATCTTGGTTATTTTAGTGGGCATGTATTTCATAAACCCTTTTTGTATAATTTGAGTTGTAACTCTTTGAGAAAATTTAATGTATTTTGAGAATTTAATTTTGGGAGCTCCTACTTTTTATATACTCAACTATTATGTTTTGAATGCGCAACTGAAATGAATGGTTTTTACTTGTGAATTTAATATGTTTTAAAAATGATTTTGGGTTGGCCTTTTCGGTGGTCCAGTGTAATATCCAAATCTTTCAGGCTTCAGGTCAAACCGGATTTGGATGTTATGGGCAATTAATACTGCCCTAATATGTGATCAGTAGGATTAATCATCTTTGCATGCGTTATTTTTGGAAGGGTGAGGACACTAAGGCTTGTGGAGTTAAAGTTGATTGGCAAGTTGAGTGTTCCCTTAAATATGAAGGTGGCCTTAGGTTAAAAAAAACATTCAATGTTGGAATCGAACGTGTATCCTGCAGCTCATGCATAACCTTCTAGTTGGAGAAAGGTCTATTTGGATGGCTTGGGTTCGGTCGTATATATTAAAATGAGATGATTTCTAGCTATTTTATTATAAGATCAATGCTAGTTGGAGCTTGAGAAAACTATTTAAAATGAGAAATGAAGTTGTCTTTGTCTTTTCCTCGATTTCGAACATTTAGGTGATAAAGATTTCTTGCATTTAAGGTGAGATTAGGCATAAAACCCCTCATGTTCCTCGATATAGGCTAATTTAGTTCGTCATGCATGTTCCTAAATATTTTGTTGTTGCTTGGTTAGCTATTCTTGATGGACTTAATACTAAGAAAAGATTGTTTCAAATGAGTATTGTTGTTGACCCTCTTTATGTTTTTGTTTTGATATGGAGTCGAGAGAGCATCTCTTTTTTGCTTGCTCCTTCTCTCGATGCATTTGAGAGAAAATTCTTCGACTTTGTAATATTGGTCGACCTGTTGTGGACTGGGAGCACGAGCTAGCTTGGGCTTGCATCGAAAATAAGGGGGAAGTCGTTGCTACCTTATGTTTCCCGGATTGCTTGAGGTGCTCATATCTACTGTGTTTGGAATAAAAGGAATTGCCAAATTTTTAGGGGGGAAATTTGTATGGGTGATGAGATTTTTGACACTATAATAAGAGATATAGTTAGAATTAAAACTAGAAAGCGTTGTATAGATTTTACAAACATTGTGAATAGGCGACTTTGTGATGCTTGGAGTATTTCCTAGTTTTGTTATGAGGAGTCTCCTTGGTATTTGTTGTAGGTTTTCTACTTTCTTAAATAATGCATAGTATTACCCTCTTTATGTTTTTGTTTTGATATGGAGTCGAGAGAGCATCTCTTTTTTGCTTGCTCCTTCTCTCGATGCATTTGAGAGAAAATTCTTCGACTTTGTAATATTGGTCGACCAGTTGTGGACTGGGAGCACGAGCTAGCTTGGGCTTGCATCGAAAATAAGGGGGAAGTCGTTGCTACCTTATGTTTCCCGGATTGCTTGAGGTGCTCATATATACTGTGTTTGGAATAAAAGGAATTGCCGAATTTTTAGGGGGGAAATTTGTATGGGTGATGAGATTTTTGACACTATAATAAGAGATATAGTTAGAATTAAAACTAGAAAGCGTTGTATAGATTTTACAAACATTGTGAATAGGCGACTTTGTGATGCTTGGAGTATTTCCTAGTTTTGTTATGAGGAGTCTCCTTGGTATTTGTTGTAGGTTTTCTACTTTCTTAAATAATGCATAGTATTTTATATAAAAAATCTTGTGGAAATTTAAAACATAAATATATATATAAATATATAAAATAAATTAGAAAACGAAACTGAAATGGGTTGTTGACTATAATAGCATCGAATTAGCACCCCTCCCAAAAAAATGCACATTATGAAACTCAATTTCCTAGTCTTGTGACCAAAGAAACCTAAAAATCAAGTGGCTATCACACATATACGATGTGCATTTTTATTAGTATTTTCAACAACTCTAATAATAATATTACCCCTTTTTTATTAGTATTTTTTTCCTGTGAAAAGGTGGCGACTTCACAAAAATGGCTGTCCCTTTTTTCCCATATGTATGGGGTAAGGGGGAGGTAAGATAGTAGGCTACCCCCAACACCAGGTTGAGAGCAGCTTCCATAGGAGACCTCCAAATTATGAAATGCCCTCCGTGGGACTTGATCCCACGACCTCAAGGTTTAGAACCTTGTGCTCTACCAACTGAGCTGGATGGTCATTTCCTTGGAAAAAAAGAAAAGCATTCCCTTTGTGTGGGTATGTAGTGTTACTGATCTCCCATAAATCTGCATATGCAAGCAAAGCTTTTTGGTCTTTTCACTTTGATTCGCATTCTGTGTTTTTCTTTTTTTTCATTTATATGGTACATTTTTAACAAATTAATTTGATTTCCAATTAAGTTATTAATTTGGTAAGTCATCCACCCTTTTAATTTATTTATTTATTTTAATGAAGGATGGCTGTTGCTTTTGCTCTTGTTTGCCCATCCACTTCTCTCTCCATCACTTATCCCACTGTGATATCATTCTCATATTTTTAGCTTTACTCAACTCTGGGTGTTTCTCTCTTCTTTCCTATAAGATCATAACATTTTTTCTTGGAGAGCTTCAATAGTGTCAAAGGTTTCATCTTTTTCAAAAAATTACTCAACTTCTCTAATTCTCCCCTTTTTTATGCCTTTTTCTGCAATTTTTATTTCTGCTACTTCTTTGCCTTGCCGTCAAATTTCGGAGCTTGTGTTTTTCTTGGCTTATTAAGTTGTTTTAGGTGAGATTTCTGATATGAGTTTCTGTCCTTGTTGAATAATAAAAGATTGGATCTTTATCTTTGGTCTTTTGAAGGTCTCTATGGAGAGTGATAATGGTGATGAGAAGTCCAAGATGGAAGACTATGAAGTCATAGAACAGATTGGAAGAGGAGCTTTTGGAGCTGCTTTCCTTGTTCTCCATAAACTTGAGAAAGCCAAGTAAGTATTTTACTCATTTTGTTTTTTTCTTGCTGTTTTACCCCAATTGAAAACCTTTGAGGAAATCTTCGGTATAAAATTTTATTCTCCCCAAACACATAATTGTTCTAAACGAGAAATTCCCATAGGATTGTTAATGTTTAGATTGTTCTTTGATTTTTCTGTTCTTACAAAAGAATTTCTGGAATGCAAAAATCAGGATTTTTTGTGACTGGTTATGTAGCAAAGCCAATTATTAACTGAATATGTGGCCTTAATTTCATTATTGCAGCTGTCAGCACTGTTCCATGTCTTTTAGCAATTATTAACTGAAGCGAGCAGTTATGATATGTTTTTTATTTTCCATATCTGTTAGGTATGTGTTGAAGAAGATTCGCTTGGCCAAGCAAACTGAGAAATTTAAGGGAACAGCACACCAAGAGGTCACTTTCTTAAAATATTTCCTCATCTTTTTTGTTTAAATTAATTAACATGTGAGTTGTGTGAAAGTAGCTGGGATTATTCCTAATATTTTCATATTGAATTATCCACATAACACTTTTTTGGATTTTCCTGTCTCGTATGCTCATGGTCAAATTTCATTCATTAATCTTTCTTAGTGTTCAAATTCTCACGGTCAAATGAAATCCTGACTGAATTTTGTTTTGAATATGGTTGTCTATTTTTTTTAACAATCAAACTTTGTAATGCGATGACCCTTGGTTGTGAATCTTAATCCACAAAACACTTGTGAAACGATGCCAAATAAGATGCGGAAGATGTCTGGATAGCTCATTCTTTGGAATGAAGTAGTTTTTTTCATATCGCTAACCAAGAACACCTTAATTCATCTCTAGGCAGTCCTTGTTCGATAATGTGTTTCTCAATATGTGCTTTATTTTTATTTTATTTGCATGGCAGATGGAACTGATTTCCAAATTGAACAGCCCATATATTGTGGAGTACAAAGATGCTTGGGTTGACAAGGTGGACTTTATGACTATTTTAGATTTACTCTTTAGATGAAAGAGCTGCTGCAAAATATTATAATTTAAATTGCTGAGAACAAGATTAACTCGTCAGTGATTTGTTAATTTGTCTTCGTTCTTCTCAGGGAAACTGCATATGCATTGTAACTAGCTACTATGAAGGAGGGGACATGTAAGTTACATTCGAAACGGAGTTTTTTGGATCATATTTTTGAAGGAATGTTCTTTAACCATCTTATGCACATTCTAGGGAATTTTTATGCTCATAGACTGCTGTATAAATCAGGTCTTTTATTGTGAGTTAAGGACTTCCGTAATTTTTGAGTCGACATAATTTCTCACTGCTATTGTCAACTGTAGATGTAACATAAATTACCTCGGCAGATTGGCTAAAAACTGTGGATTCTTATCTTAGTGTTTTTAATCTTTCAACAGAAGCAGTCTCGAATTGATGAGTGGGATTTATAGTTGGTTATATTGATATGCATCATTTTCCTCAACTTTGATTGGATTATAATGTAACTAAATAGCAATTGGAATTCCACTAAGAGAAAAAAATAGCTAATTCTATCTAATGCTCGTGAAGCACTAACTGGGGCACTTAAAATTTTTGTTGGAATAAGGGCTGAGCTTATTAAGAAGGCCAGAGGTATTCACTTTCCCGAGGAGGTAATAGAAATATTAATGTGAGTGAACTACTTACTTACACCTGCTAGAGATTTTATTCACCCTTTTATTGTTCTCTTTGGCTTTCTAGAAAATATGCAAATGGATGACTCAGTTGTTGTTGGCTTTGGACTACCTGCACTCAAACCGTGTTCTTCATCGGGATCTGAAGGTAATGCCTCTATCTTCATCCCTATAGCGAGGAAAGTTCATAAATGATGATGCGCTCTAACTTCCATTTAATCCCAGTGTTCCAACATATTCCTTACGAAGGACAATGACATCCGGCTTGGTATGAAGGGAAACGGATTGCTAGAAAGGGACTGTGTTCTTTATCAGGTTTGGCCGTCTTTTTTGATATGTCTTCTAAGATATGTATGTCTTATATGGAATGTACAGGTGACTTTGGACTTGCAAAATTACTTAACAAGGAAGACCTTGCTTCCTCGGTATGCACTTGTGCTAATCTTTTCATTTTACGAGATCTCTTTGAAAGTTATCTTTAAAAACCTGTCTTAGAAGTCATCCGATGCAATGAGATGTATTTGAAAGTACTTATAATATATTTCTGAGTGCAGAAAAAAAACGCTATTGTTAATAAATGACATAACTTTTGGTTATAGAATTTGTTAAAACCAGTTTTAAGGATTCATTCTGGTGATCTTATATGGTCTGCATATTCTCAATAGGTTGTTGGCACACCCAACTATATGTGTCCTGAGCTCCTTGCGGATATACCTTATGGCTACAAATCGGATATATGGTCACTTGGTAAGAATTTCGAAGCATAATTCTGAGATGTGGAATCCGTTGAACTTTTAATTAGGAGTGACATAAATTTATTTTGCCAGGTTGCTGTATGTTTGAGATTGCTGCACGTCAACCAGCATTTAGAGCTCCTGTGAGTTTTTCTAACTCGACCAATATGACATTTCCTTAGTATCGTTAAACTACCATCAAGTTGTCCGTAATAGATTCTAAGGTAAAACCAGTCATTGACAACTCACAGGATATGGCCGGACTCATTAACAAAATCAACAAATCCTCTATATCTCCTCTTCCGATTTTGTATTCCTCAACTATGTAAGAATTTTCTTCCAACTGTTTATAAATAATACGCGCTCTTTTTTGGAATGATCAATACATGTAGAAAATGAAATGACGTCATGTTTCAGGAAACAAATAATCAAGAGTATGCTAAGGAAGAATCCAGAATACCGACCAACAGTAAGTGCAAGCAGTCTCATATTTAGCTTTCTAGTTTTAAAAACTACCGTCCATACTGATCCCGACTGTTCTGATATTTTAGGCTGCTGAACTCTTAAGGCACCCCCATTTGCAGCCTCATGTCCTTCGCTGCAGAAATCCATCCACTGTTTATCTTCCGGTAAAGCCCACAAACAGCCCAAAGGAGAAGACACCTAGAAAATCATTATTGAACAAACCTGGCATTGGAAAGGACAGGGTGATCGGAGTTAAAGATGCTGGCATATTGAATGAACAATGTAATACACATTCATTTCCGAGAATGGCTGATGTACGCATAAGCGGTTCTCCTAATCGTGAGAAGCCAACATCCACAGCTAGTACGAAAGACAACCTTGTCACTAAGAGGGTTGATCCTACTAGCTGTGCTGTCGAAATTTCTAACTCTATCAGTGATTCCAAAGACATGTTCACTGATTCCGAAGTTAGTGTTAGCAATGAAGACAAACGGTCTCAGCTTAAGAGTGTTTCGCAAAAGGATGCCGACTTGGATTCAACCTCAGAGACAGCATTCAATTCTCAGCATGATGAGCAAGAAGAACCCACTTTTGAGCACACTCGAAACTTGCCGGAAGTTGATATGAAGTCTATAAGTAAAAAAGATGAGACTTTTTGTGACGTGCAGGTTCTTGAAGAAGCAGCAAAAGAGGTTCTTGACATGCAGGTTCTTGGTACATCGAGGGATTCTGGTAAAATGACAGTTTCCAGCATCAGTTGCGAATATAAAAATGGGTATCGTGATGATGGAAGTTCATCATCTACTATTTATGAGACCGATGTAGATCAAAGATGCTCGTCAACTAAAACAAGTTGTGGTAATGCGAAAACAGAAGGTGCCGACACAAGCTACTTGTCTTCGGAAAGTAATGCTGTACATCCATCATGCACAGATGAAGCAGGAGCAACATCAGGGACTAATGCCTGCTCCACTGTGACTGAGAAAGATAATGTGCGACCAATTCACTTGACTCCGAATGATGTATCGTTACTGAGTAGACTAACAGCCATGAGTGGTGATGAAATTAAGAGTGTGTGGGAAAATCCAAGTCAGGAAAGAGCCGATGCATTGGAGTCTCTGCTTGAGCTATGTGCCCGGCTTCTTAAGCAAGACAAAATTGATGAACTCGCTGGTGTGCTACGACCGTTTGGGGAAGAAGTTGTCTCCTCTAGAGAAACAGCAATCTGGCTGACAAAGAGCCTCATGGCTGCTCAAAAGTCCACCGGTGGAACCTGATTTTCAACAGCTTGGAACTAATTTATCCATAAATGTGAGACTGGTTTGCTTGAAGAGAAGAAACTCAAGAAACAAATATAATTTGCGGATTGTTCTGAATAAGAAATGTCGAGTCATGCATGGATTGAGCTTGCTATGTCTTGTATAACATGTGTTACCTGTATTTATTGCATTATTTTTCTTGTTTATTATTATTTTTTCATTATCATTTGGACAAATTACATGAAGTTCGTTGTACATGATGAAGTTTATCGTTGGATAACTGCATTTTAAAAAGTTATAATATCGTTATCTTTTCATGTTTTTCAGAAGTGTACAAACAAAACGAAGTTCAAAAAGAATAATCAATGGATTCTTCTGTACTTCATGGTTTCAGATATTTCTAGCTTACTGCAAATAGGAAGCAAAGAGAGAAGCAAGGGAGGCTCCGACTAAGGACCCGGGAACAGGTAATGTGGTTGTTGCGACGCCGCTATATAGGCCGGGGTTAGGAGCTGAGCCAGGAGCAGAAGCAGGACCTCCAGTGGCCATGACTGCACTCATGGAGGCGGCGGTGGCGGCGACAATAACGGAGCATGAGATCATCTTCATGTCCATAGTATTGAAGAATAAGCTTATCGAGAGACCTGCTGAGACGATAACAAAACCTAAGCAAGAAGAAATATTTACGTATGGTATTGAGGACTGAGATTGATTGTGCATGATTTTTTGGATGGTTAAATTTCACATTTTTTGTTAACCAGTTATTAGTCTATCTATAAACGATGCCACTTGTACTCCCTACTTATTTTGCAATATGGAAGTGCACAAGTACTAGTAATTTGTTAAGTTTTCATCTCAACGTACTGCAAGTTCCATTTTAATTAGGGATAACAGTTTAGAATATAGCTTAGAAGTGTGTAAATAATTTAATTATTTTTTTTAATTTGAATCGCATATAAATTTAAATATTAAAATTATTATTAATTATAGACATGGAATGAATATAAATATATATTTTTAAATATTTATTATTTGAATTTGTATTACTTATGCAAATGACGATTGATTATACAAATATATAAATCTGATTTTTTATTATAAAATTAAGAACATGTTTGCTTCTGAAAGGAATTCAAATTTTTGATCATCTAATTTTTTATAATTTGTATATTTAACATATGATTTTAATTTTAAACTATTTTTTTTACTAATTTATATATTTAATAAATAATAATATATTTTTTAAAGGAGTTTTCTGCCTTTTTTTAATTAAAAAAAAGTTAATTTCTTTGAATTTTTTTTAACTTTGAGAATTTAGTTTTCTTTTCATCTGATTATGCTTGATTTGTGTCAACTGGGTGTTTAGGGTTTTTGCTTAAAGTTTTCAACTTTTTGTTTTGAGTTTTGAAGAGAAACTGGAAACTAATTTGGCGTTGCTGTTTGCATTCTGAGATTTTATCAATTTATATATTTTAAATATGAGCTAGAGTACACTGCTGATTATCTGCTTACTTCTGAGACTAATCATATTCATAAAAATGATGATTTTTTTAGAAAGGGAAGATGTTGAGGGATATCCTTTACTTAATTCTGCATAATTGAACAATTTTTCTCCATAGCGATTGGGTACTTAGCTTAATTCTGCATAGTTGAACATTCCCGAGTCCGGCACATACCCGTATCTGATACGCACAAATTCGAGTAACATTCCCCCCTTGATTGTTATTGTAGCCGGCTGATGTTGTACAGTCTTTTTAAAGGTTCTGTTGTAAGTAAACTAATTATCTGCTTTCTCAAAAAAAAAATATCTGCGTAATCTAAGATCACTGCAATTACGAATGAAAGCTATGTCTGGTGTCTGCTATAAGGTTGATTGATGAATCATGATGGAGGTAATTAGACCTAGGTACTACTTCATATCAAGTAAATTGATCACTTGCATGCTTAATATGTGTTCTTGTCCTCTTGGTCCATAAACTGGCATACTTGTTTCCATCTGGCGTTTTTTGATATCCAACTTTAGGACTTGAATGGCTTGTAGTTCTTCCGCTTATTTTTCATATATTCTTGTGTTCTACTTCATTTTGGGTTATTGACAGTAAAGTGGTTTTAGTGCAGGAGGGTAGAGAAGATGGACTATCGTGATGAGACAGGCCGCCAAACTCCAGAAGGCCTCATCCTGTGCGTCAATAACTGTGGTTTCCTTGGAAGTGAAGCTACCATGAATATGTGCTCCTAAGTTTCACAAGGCAATGATCCTGAAGCAGGAGCAGCTGCAAGTGCAACTCGTAGCATCATCCATTGGAAGCATTGTCAATGGCAGCTCTAGTGGGAACGGTAAGGAACCATCTATGGCTGCTGCTGCTGCTTTGGCTGTACAATCCAGAAATTTTGGGTTAGAAATTGAATCGTCCATCAATCCATCCCTTATGACCTTCGGTGGGATGAAAACAAAAGAGGGTCCCAACAGGGGTACTGCATGTAACAAGTGTGTCCGTTTAACAGGATTTAACTGCGGGTGTGGAAGCATCTTCTGTGCAGTTCATCGATACTCCGACAGACACAACTGTCCTTTCAACTACAGGACTGTTGCTCAAGATGCTATTGCTAAAGCCAACCCTGTAGTCAGGGCAGAGAAGCTCGATAAAATCTAAAGAGTCGAGGATGAAGGCAAAGATTTATGTAATGAAATATGATGTTTGTCCTACTACCCATTTGTGTCATCAGCTCAATCATAGTGAAGGTTAATGTTAAAATGGGTGTTTTGTCTCAACATGTGTCCCCTTGATTGATATAAAGAGTTGCAAAGTCCATGATAGGGAGGACATCGTTGCAGTGTAAGGAAAGTCTGTATTCCTTGTCAATTGGTTGGCAATAGTTCGCCCTGGTTTGTAAGTCTTTATTTTGTGCTGGTTTGATGGTACATCGACATGATTACCTTGTAATGCTTTTCTCTCTTATATGCCTTTCTTCTACCGGTGTTGAGGAGACCACTTAGAGGTCGAGGTCGGGCTATTGATTCTCAGTTGAACTGGTTCACTTTATAGTAATTTAATCATAGTTCTACGATTATAGATATGAATCAATCAACCTCGTGATCAAAGACTCTGAGATAGTAATAGAATTTTTATAGTACAAGTCACAAGATATGTTGAATCAAGTCATGAGAAATCGAAGGTTTCCATTTGACTCGGGTAAATAGAAGACATGGAAACCTAGTGATAAATGGTGAGGCCTCTCCTCTACTTCCTCATAATTTCTAATATTCGAAATATATATACAACACTAGCTACCATTAAAGCTATTTTCCATAAATCTAGCCCCTGGAGCTTCTTCAGAGAATTCATAGCTCCATTTTCAGTTGATTTGCCTGTAATGTCACTGCTCCAAAGTTGCAACAGAATTCTTGTTCATTTTACTTAACATTAGAAGAAGGTATAACCTGACCGTTTGAAGTAAGGGAAACTTAGAAAGCTATCTACCTGAATTTGCAGAGGAGTCATAAGTTAAAAGTGACTTCTCTGGTGTAATGTAATTATTGTGGACTTCTCTTCCCCAAACAGGCTGCTGAAGTGCATCGGAATTCCATTGGTGCTGATATTGTTGTCTGTGTCCATCTCCTTGAACTTCAGGCCACATCACAGGCATAACCAAGCCGGGGAAGTTGCTGTCCATTAAAGATCCACTCTACACGTGTAAAAGATGGTCAGACATGTTAGTAGAAACTTTCAGGTAACAAAATCAACAGCTATTATCCTGTCATCAGAAATGAAACTAGATGGATTACCGTGTAAATGAAACATTTTATAGGTACTTATTCCCAGCATTATCTACTCATCTTCTCTGATTACCAATTTACATGACAAGTGCTCAAATGGAGTATGTAGTCATTTCACTACAAAAGGGTAATTTCCTATTAACATGTTCTGCTAAGCAGAGCTTTGCATGTCGTTTGAGAATGAATTTCAATAATTCTTGCAATCAGCTTCATTCAGCTGACTGGCAGCCATTGTTCCCGTTCAAAAATTAATGAAGGGGTAGATGGTGGTCCAGACATGATCAACTGTCCACTAAATATTAATGAGGAGCAGTCTTTTAAGAAAATGGTTGGAATCCAGTGGAGCCATACAATAAAGTGTATACCAGTTGGGGCTTTACCGATCTACATAACAAGATCATAACCAAAGTTGAAACATGAATGGGAAGAATCACCAAAGAAAAACTGTGCTCAAACTTACTTCTGATGTGAATACACTATCAAGGTTGAAATCAATTCTTGGGTTAACTGCTGCAAGTCTCATTGATAAGAACTGCAACCAAAGAAAAAAAATGTTACTACTGCAAGGAAAACCACAGCAAAATGATACATCAAAACATGTCAACCTAGTGGAATCTTTGCAAATTTTTCATGTTATTGTTGGGAGGTAATGCAAATAATTCAATTTAACCACCAAAGGATGTTAACAATAAGAACCAAGAGAAATATCTACAGTGCAAGGGTTTCAGGACAGAAAAATACTGACAGCAAGGGACCTCCTACACATCAGTGAAACCCACATAAAACTCTTGGTAAATGTCCTATTGATTAATCCCAGGTCACCTTGATTTTCATGATCATTTGAAGGTAATTTTGTAAAACATAAAGACATTAAAATATCTTAAAACCCATATGATATTAACAAAAATGGGGTAGAAGATTTAATGGCCCCATCCAGTGGCCAAGTCCTGTGTCTTGAATTCATATTAAACCTTCTCTTGTAGAAGGGGGAAAAAGATCCAATGCTTGAAATGCGTAATTCTTACCTCCACTTGCCGTTGTAGAGACTGCACATGATTGATGATTTCATCCAACACCAAGGCTGTACCTGAAATCTGCAGCACACGTATTCAATATAAATGTATGTATTCTGAAAAAATTTAAACTATCTTCTTGAACCTAATGCTTTGGAAAACAAAAGTGTAGTAATCAAAGCTTCCAGATATAATATAAAGGCATCCCACCTAGAGTCTGATTGTTTGAAAATTACTTAACTCCCACATGGCTTCCTCCTAAACAGATTTAAAGCGAACTGAGAGTCTATTGATGTCCACTCTCCCCAAGGATGCAATGTAAATGCATCAATTTAGAAGTAATAAAGTCAACAACTTTTCTCCAACAATTAAGCATCTCCAATCCTATCAACCTTTAAGGAAACCATGAC